TGAAGGTATGTTTTAACATTCTTGGAAAATATTTTTGAAAGGAGTTGAGATTTAAATTTCCTCACTTTCAGTATCTTGAATATGGCTTTAGGGTAGCAATTAAATAGATTCACAGGCACCAAATATGAGATGACTTCAAACAAACCTTCCAAATGCTGTACTTTGTTTCTTGAAACCTACTGGTTATAGGAATTTAATTGAATTCCATGCTTCTATGTTTCCAACAAATAATTTTGATCATTAACTGAAACTGGAGAGAAATATTGGCAAGATCAAACTCTGGCACAAGTAACATATAAAAGCCACTGAAGAGAGAGCAGTATTCTCTAAAAATTAATTCCTCATATTTGAGCTTGAATAAACTATAAAGAAAATGGTGAGTTTTCTCTTTCAAACCAGATCAGCAAGCTATCTGTAAAAATAACATTATTTTATAAGAGACTGACTTGATAAATACCTCCAGGTCACAGCACAAAATCACTATTTTCTGTTTGGATAATATAAATTCTCAAAAAAGTTTTAGGGCCATTAATATTAAAAAAAAAGAAGATGCTTGGTTTTTTAGTGCAATCTGAAACCTCAAGATAGTTTTAAGTTATATTTGTAATATGGATTACTACTATGATGGTTTTAGTACAATACTGCTTAGTTCAATGATATTAAGTGTGTTACAAAATATGAGAGTAAATTGACACTAGACACTTCTCTAATTTTCTAATTTTCATTTCCCTACTCCCCGTCTCACCAATTTTACAAGACTTAAATTTTTCTTCAAAATATAAATCCAGTAAGATATATGCCTTGGATGATGTTTAAATTTAGACAATGCGCTGCAAATAACTACCAGACAACTGGCAGCTTACAGTTTTACAACAGTTAGAGACAGATGGACAAGTAAAAATCAGGGGGGTCTCAAATTGCAAGCCCATCTAAATAGATTTCCTGTTTACTTTGCATCAGCCTCTCTTACAGGTGCAGGGTGCTTACTTTTGGCAGTAGGGGGGAAATTTATATGATTTATAAGCCATAAGAACATCTTCTCACTTTCCATAAACAGGTTATAGAATTAATTAAAATTACAGCACAGCAACTCTGCACATGAAATCTGCTCTGTTACTGGAGACTAATGTAATCCAAATATGTGGAAAGTCAAATAGTTTTCAACAAAGCTAATTTAGATGGATGGATCAGATAACAACTTGGAACTGAACCTGACAGAATCAGATCTACTCAAAGGCAGTAAGTGCTGAATGTTATATTCCAAAATGAATGAAGAAAACACTGAATTTTAGTCTGTTACCAGAAGGATTAGAAAATAGTACTTTACTTACAAAAATGTTTAAATATCTTACTTCGGGGCACCTGGGTGGCTCAGTGGGTTAAAGCCTCTGCCTTCGGCTCAGGTCATGATCCCACGGTTCTGGGATCGAGCCCTGCACTGGGCTTTCTGCTCAGCAGGGAGCCTGCTTCCCTTCCTCTCTCTGCCTGCCTCTCTGCCTGCTTGTGATCTCGCTCTCTGTGTCAAATAAATAAAATTAAAAAAAAAAAAAAGATAAATATCTTACTTGAAGAAATTACAAAGACCCAAAAAAACTACCGTATGTTCTATTTTATGTAAATGAAACAGACTATTAGAAAAGTAAATGGCATGTGGATGGAACTAGAGGGTATTATGCGAACTGAAATAAGTCATTCAGAGAAAGACAATTATCATGTGATCTCATTGATACGAGGAATTTGAGAAGCAAGACAGAGGGTCATAAGGGAAGGGGGGGTAAGATGAAACCATAAGAGACTCTTAATCTCAGGAAATAAACTGAGGGTTGCTGGAGTGGAGGGGAGTGGGGGGGATGGGGCGGCTGGGGGACAGACATTGGGGAGGGTATGTGTTATTGTGAATGCTGTGAATTGTGTAAGACTAACGAATCACATACCTGTACTCCTAAAACAAATAATATATTATATGTTAATAAAAAATAAATAAATAAAAAGAAATGTAAATGGAATGAAAGACTATGAAATTTGCATTTAATCCTATTCATGTTTATCTATCTACTCAAAGAGTATGCTTCCATCTGTAAGATTTTATGTTCATGAAGACATATTGAAAAAAGGTGGCTTCTTTACACCTTTATACTATTGACACTACTAGTGTTCACTGCTATCAGATTTATATCTAAAACAAAGATAAAGCATGAGGAACACAGGAAAGTAAAACCTTCCACAAGCTAATGGTTTAATCTTAGTGGCAAAGTAATATTGACTGTATCCTTATATATAGTACAATTGAAAGTTAAAAAAAAAAAAAGTAAAAGGAGAGAGTTGAAGTAAAATGATGAAAATGGAAATTTGTCTTCTGAGTCACCAGAGTCTCTCTTCTGCTTCAGTTTTTTCAGTAAGCAAAGGAAGGACAAGTATGGGAAGAGGGGGAAATTTCAAGATCAGAAGGAACATTCTATCGTTACTACCACTCTGATGACCAGAGAACTACTCTAGTTGTAGCTTATAGTGTCCTCCAGAATGGTGGGAGCACAAGCCCATGGGTAACATCAATTTTCAGAATGTGGACCAATTCTGATCTTAGTATAGCCATGTCCATTCCACCTCTAGTACTTTTGGATATTCCCTTAATACTCTACCTTCTCTTCATAGTGTAAACATCTTCCTTTCTTCTGTCACAAGTAGCCTAAATCAATACTAAATAATTTTAAGAACTTTAGTTATTTTTCAATTAGTATTAATGTCAGTTAGTATTTCACTACTGTTTTTTTTAAGTACTTGTATGATCTCTAAGACTTGTGTGATAGCCAGCTTCTAAGGTGATCCTCAATGACCCTTGACTTCTGAGATTCACATTCTTAGGTAGTCCCCTCCACAGTGAATAGAATTAATAGTTGACTTCTGTATCCAGCAGACAACTGCAGAAATTGATGGGTGTGTGGTTCCTGAGGGTAGGTCATAAAAGGCATAGAAGCTTCCACCTTGCTTTCTTTTCTCTCTTAGATTGCTCATTCTGAGAGAAGCCAATCCCATGTTGTGAGGATAGAAGAGACCAGTGTTGAAAAGCCTTCAAGATGGGAAAGAATTAAAGCTTACAGTCAACAACTGGCACCAAATAAGTGAACTACCTTAGATCATCTAGCCTGTCAAGCTTTCAGATGATTACAGCTCCACTTGACTGCAACCTCATGAGATCCTGAGTAAAACCATCCCACTAATTCATTCCTGAATTCTTGACCTGTAGAAATTATATGAAATGATAAATGTTTGTTGTTTTTAAACCACTAAGTGGTGAGGTATTGGCTAAGCAGCACAACTAATTCATACTATTTCTTCTTAAAGAAAGAAATACAAATAGGTATGCCATTGGATCAACTACCTTCATTAACAACATAATACTGTTGCTTTATGAGGGATTTAGAACTCAAGCTAAGTAAATAATGGATCACGTTTTTGTTTTATTTTAATTGAGGCATAATTTACATGGGTGAAATACACAAATCTGAAGTGTATATTTCAGGAATTTTGACAAGTTTTGCAAGAACATGCACCACATAAGTAATACCATGATCAAGAGATGTAAAAAATTTCCATTACTCTGGATAGTTTTCTCAAGGCTATTTTGAGTCAGTTCTTACATTACTCCTTCCCCCAACCAGAGTTGAGTACTGTTTTATATATCTATCACCAAAAGTTTTCATCATTCTAGAACTAAATAGCAAACAGAATATGTTCTTAAAATTATAAGGTTTTTACATGTAGGGAGTTGAGGGAAATTGGAACAGGAGGTGAACCATGAGAGACTATGGACTCTGAAAAACAATCTGAGGGGTTTGAAGGGTCGGGGGGTGGGAGGTTGGGGGAACCAGGTGGTGGGTATTAGAGAGGGCACGGATTGCATGGAATACTGGGTGTGGTGCAAAAACAATGAATACTGTTACGCTGAAAAGAAATTAAAAAAAATTTTTTTACATGTAAAAATTATAAAAACATATTCACTAAAATAAGGTTAAGGTATTTCTAAATATATAGAGAAGTCACTTTTATTATGGATGGTCAGGTCAGACTCTTCCAAAGAAGCAAGTAAATGGGTATGCCTGGTATCTGCATCTTTCATTCTAGAGATCACTTAAAACCAAATCATTTAAAGTATCAAGGAACGTATTTTTATACAGTTAATTTGTTTTGCTTTTATTAAATAACTACCATTTAACAATATATGTATTTTTTCCTCCCTCAAAAAAAATTTGTTTTCATCTAGGATATAGCAGTGATTAAAAAGCAATTACCAAGAATGAGAATATTTCCTTAAAAGAGGATGGATAATTATAATCCTATAAAGACTTATGGCAAGTATTTTTCATTGGCTTAGTACAACTTTCTTTATTCATTAAAAGGATATTTTTTATGATTTTAAGATAATTTCAGAAAATTTATAAAAATTCATTTAGTAGTATATTTGTAATAACATATATACCACCTACTCTTCTTGACAAGAATGCCTGAGATAGAAAGTCAAGTTACTGAGTCATTGAAATAATTGAATTTAAACTATATCAGTAAATTCTATCTAAGCCATGGTTATTATTTCTCTCTACCCTTCAATATGGCCTTTCCTTAACACAGTTCACTATGTCCCTAGGAATACCAGCATTCTGTTAGTAGTTACTATGTACTACTTACAGGAAAATACTCTCAATCTCAGCTAGAGAAATGTTTAGTACTGGAAAAACATTTCAAATTTTCATATATATCCTCTTCAGGAATTTTTTTTGTCAAGTACTTTGTAGAATGCCTACCTCACAAAAGCTGAACACTGGACAATGTCAATTTTGAATTTCTATGGGGCCTGTGAATTAAATTTCCTAAAATAAAAATTTGCACCTGGATTTTATTATTAAACAAGTAACAGAAGAAACGAAAACTCTGCAGTTTCTTGTTATGCCTTTTTGTTTGCCAATTTCTGCTTTTCATTTAATCGCCCTGATATTACACAGTACCTCACAGGTTTCCTCTCTCGAAGCAAGTCTTCTAGACTCCGTTCACAGTGTTCAGCTACCACCACCAGTCTTTCTGAGTAAAACAAAGCAAATCCACTTTACATTTGATTAACAAAATGTTTAATAACAAAATAATATAGTCCATTAAAGATATTATAGTACTAATAGCACTGTAAGAGTTTTTTAGACTCTACATTAACTACATAATTACCAGATCTATACAACAGAATAAATGTGTAATAAAAGAGTACATTAAATAACAATTTCACGTCATCTTGTGTTTTTGTCTAGAGTTTCTCCCATGTGCACCAGGAAAAACAGATGGAAAAGTTTTACCTTTGGAAAAAAGAAGTGACCCTTCTTCTGACACAGATTAGGAAAAGGACAAACTTGGATGAAGATACAAAGAAATTTTGATGTGAAGGGGAAATTGGGAGCTAGGGACAAATTGTCTTGGCAGTCTGGTTCAAACACAAGGTTTTGCAACTGAGTTCAGAAATTTGAGAAAAGTAGAAATGTTCTGAATCATGACTATGAAGAAAGAACAGAAAATTGGTTTGGGATTATTTGTAACATCATGGGACCTGCTGAGATTAAGTAATAATATAAAATTTTGGTGGGTACCATCAATATTATGATGTAATTTTTATTTTCCAACAGATAAAGAATTAGCATAGTTCTGAGGGTCAGACCATACATTTTTTTCCCATCATTTATCCCTAATGACTAACACATTGTTTGACACATTTTTAAAAAAGATTTTATGTATTTATTTGAGAGAGAGAGTGAGAGCTCTCCCCACTGGGCAGAGAGCCTAATGTGGTGCTCAATCCCAGGACCCTGAGATCACAGATGGGGCTGAATGCAGACCTTAACCAACTGTGCCACCCAAGCACACCCCTCATTTTTTTAAATCTTTTTTAAAAAAGTTTTTATTTATTTATTTGAATGAGAGACAGTGAGAGTGGGAACACAAGCAGGAGGAGTGGGAAAAGGAGAAGCAGGCCTTCTGCCGAGCTGGGAGCCCGATGCAGGGCCCAATCCCAGGACCCCAGGACCATGACCCGAGCCACAGGCAGATGCCCAACAACTGAACTACCCAGATGCGCACCCCCCACTTTTTTTTTTTTTTTTTTTTAATGAATGCATGTAAGAGTAGTGAGAGAGTATTAATGAGCTTACAAGTGTTTGGGAATTTGATAAGGTCATTTCAGGAGAGGTCACAGGTTTAAAAGAAATTGTGGAGTTTTGTGAATATCTATGCAAATAAGATAGATGAGGAATAAGATTAACACAAAATATGGGTGGCAGACTAGGATGAAACAAAGGAGAGTGCAAAGAGATTGGGAATACTGATCACTGCAAAGAGTTTTGATGAAAATGAAAAGTAGGAAAGGTAGAAAAAATGAGAGAACAGCATATGGGAAAGGAGAATTCCAGAGTAGGAGATCCAGCAAAAGGAACAACTCTCAGTAACAACTGGCTCAAGGTAAGGTCTTGCATGTGGGAGTAGAGATGAAGGACAGTGGTACACAGGCAATCATGTAAGGTATGAGGGCAGTATATTACATGGGTCAAATCTTGGAAGAGGAAACTCTCTGAGGGGGTAGCATTACACCGAATGATCTGAAACAGAAAATGAAAAAAGCTCTAAATTAAAGTGATCACTTTCAGATGAAAGACTGCAAGTGATCTAAATAAGAACTTAAAGAAAACTAAATTTGAAAGAATATTTAACAAGGGGGAAAAAGGAAAAAAAGAGTAAGAAAGAAAATCAGTTCTTCAATAAAGAAAAAAACACAATAAAGAAAAAAACACAAAGTTGACCTTGAAGCAACTGTGTAGTTATTTGCTTTCATCTTACAACATTATGCCAGTTTTCCTAATACCTATCTGGCTGCCTCCCCTTAGTCTCCTCTGTACAATGGCACCCCTAACTGATGCTTCTAGTTCCTCTACTTTTGATTCGGGGTCTTCATACTGTGTTTTCTCTTCATTTACTCCCATGGCTGAAAATTTGCAAATTTTATTTCAAGCCCTGAACTCCCTTCTGCATTCCAGGCTTTTACAGAAAATTTCTCACTTTAATATAAAAGTCACCTCTAACTTGACAGAACTCAAACTGAACTTATACTTTGTTCCTGAAACCTGTTCTTGAGTCTTCAGTAAATGGTACCACCATCCTGCCAGCTCCATCAGCTAGAAACTTAGGAATAATACACTTATTATTAATTAATAAACTTGGGAATAATCCTCCTTTCTCAAATCCAAACGAAAGTCCTGCTATCTCTATCTCCCAAATGTTTCCAGAATCTTTAGTTTGCTCCACACAAACTGGGTCCAAGTTAGGATCCTCTTAATATGAGAGTACAATGTACCTTAACTTATCTCACATTAATTCTTATTACCATCCATCATATTTTCATACTAAAGTCTCAGTGATAAAATAATAATAAATCCAAATGTCCTCTTTAGTTTCATCTTTTATTACTTTGGCTTACCAACTTCCAGTAATGCTAGCCTTCTCTTCCCCATCTTGCTTAAGGTATTAGCACATTGGTTCTCATTGTCTGAAATGATCTTCCTCATTCTCATCTCCCAGCTAACTCCTATCATAAAACACAGAGGTTAAAAGCACAGACTCTTCCATCTAAGCTCAAATTCCAGGTTTACTACTCATTAGCTATGCGACCTTGGACAAGTTTGCTTCTTTTTCTGTGCCATAGTTTCCTCTTCTATAAAATGAGGGAAAAAATAGCACCTACCTCATAGAGTTGTTGTTAGGTTAAAATAAGTTAACGTGTCAAACCATAAGTGACTCTTAATCTCACAAAACAAACTGAGGGTTGCTGGGCAGAGGGGGGTTGGGGGGGGTTATGGACATTGGGTAGGGTATGTGCTATGGTGAGTGCTGTGAAGTTTGTAAACGTGGAGATTCACAGACCTGTACCCCTGGGGGAAAAAATATATATATATATATATGTTTATAAAAAATAAAATTATTAAAAAAAAAAAATAAGTTAACGTGTAATAGGGATCAAGAATAGTGCCCGGCACATAAGTATTTGCTATTATTATTATTCATTCCTTGGTTAAATATGACTTCCATAAGGAACACTTTACTGGTGCCCCCAAATCAATTTGCTCCTCCTATCATATAATCTATTCTGCACTGTACTTTTCTTCAGTAGCACTTACTTCAACTCTAAGGATTTGTATACATTTCTATTTAATGTCTTTTTTAAAAATATTTTATTTATTTATTTGACAGAGATCACAAGTAGGCAGAGGCAGGCAGAGAGGGGGGGAAGCAGGCTCTCCGCTGAGCAGAGAGCCCGATATGGGGCTTTATCCCAGGACCCTGAGATTATGACCTGAGCCAAAGGCAGAGGCTTAACCCACTGAGCCACCCACCCCGGTGCCCCTCTATTTAATGTCTTTTTTCCTCCACTACATAATACGTTTCATGATGGCAGGAACATGTTGGTCTTGTTCTAAATGTATCATCAGTGTCTAGAACTGGCACCTCAGACATATTAGTATCTAAGATAAAAATACTTGTTGGCTAAATGAGCTTGAGCAAAGAGGTATGATGTAACCATTAGAAATGAATAAGAGTCTTATGTGAAGATAGTCATTATCTAAATAGAGATCTGTCCTGCATACAAAATTATATGCCTACATTATAAACTAGGCATAATAAGTCCTCAATAGTGCTTATTTTAATATAAAACAAAAATATCTGAGTTCATTAATATGTGTATTTTCCATTAATTTATAATTTTAAGTTGGATATTCATAAATGTCCATATCCATGAGAGATTTTCGAAGTGTTTGGCACTAGCCTAATTGGTCAGGCTTAAAATAATTTAGGAAAAAAAAAAAAAAACTGTCAGGCTTCTTCTAGAAACTCCTTCAAAATATCATAAAACAGAGTTTGCCAAAATTTCAGGATTCTATGGAACTCTGAACCATTATTTTAATACAGTGGAGACATAATCCTTGGCAAAATATCAAAGTTTCTCCCAGAGGTAATAGAATGTACACCAAAACAATGTTTCCAATATGAACCATTTTTTCAAGAAATCATTAGAGAGTCTTCATCCTGAAACTCTGGACCACTGTTTGAAAATAACTTCTGTTTGTTATAAAAACAATATAGTTTCACAGAATAAAATATGACAAAAATATCTGGGAATCACAATGTGCCAAACAAAAGTCAGCAATGTAGTGGCATTATTTATAAAAAACAAATGTGACATGAAGATGAACTTTAAAGAGTGGAACATACAAAAACTGTGAAATAATCTCTCTTCTAACAAATATTTGATGAATGCCAAGTATCACTGTAGTGTAAATACAGCCTGAACTGTATGTTTTAAGTCAATGCTAAAAAACTGAAGAGGGTACAATATTAAGCCAGAAAGATTTAATAAAGGAGTTGAATGAGGAGAGGAACTAGAAGAAAGATTTAAATGAAATTTTTTTAACTTAAGAGAAAGAAAGGTAAATTGTGAGTGTGTTAGGTTATTAGATAACAGTAACTATATCATTCTTTTGTTACAATAAAAACTGAGGCTAGCTCATCACTTTTTAAATATAGTATCTAAATAAATGTTCAGATAGTAAAACTGAAAAATACAAATTCTGTTCTTAAAAACCAGTATTGTGGGGCTCCTGGGTGGCTCAGAGGGTTAAGCCTCTGCCTTTGGCTCAGGTCATGGTCTCAGGGTATTAGGATCAAGCCCTGCATCCGGCTTTCTGCTCAGCAGGGAGCCTGCTTCCCTTCCTCTCTCTCTGCCTGCCTCTCTGCCTACTTGTGATCTCTCTCTGTCAAACAAATGAATAAAATCTTTAGAAAAAAAACAAAACAAAATAAAACAGTATTGTTACTAGGTCACCGGATGGTTAGTTTTATGAGTCAACACAACTATGCTATAGTTTTCAGTTACTCAAATGCTAATCTAGGTGTTACTATAAAAGTATATTGCTATGGGGGCGCCTGGGTGGCTCAGTGGGTTAGCCTCTGCCTTCGGCTCAGGTCATGATCCTAGGGTCCTGGGATCAAGCCCC